ATGGACAACACAAGCAAATGGATCGGGATGGCGAAATACGAGTTCTTCTTGTCCACGGTGGTCCCCCAGTCCTCCGAGAACGAAAACGACACGTTGCGTAGACTCTGCTCCACTAATTTGCCCTTTTACAACGAGCCAAAGTGATACAGCGGTGGACAGTGGTATGACCACCAACCAGTGCTAGATGCATCTATTTCACGTCCTCTACGTTCCGCTTGTGGAGCATCTCGTCAAACTTCTGTGGAAAATATCATTCACGCAAAGCCCTGGATAAAGAGCTTCTGGTTCCATCGATTCTGCAAGAAATACAGCGGATTCAGCGTGAGCGACACCCGAGGCTAGGAAACCCTGTACGTACCTTTTATCTTGACGCTGAAGATGCTTGTCCCGCACACGATCTCGCCCAGCGTGTTGATAATGGCCGTGTTAGCTGGTTACGACCCTTCTTCGTATTTATGCTCAATGGCAGACACAGATAAAGTCTCGAATCCGAGTGACGTGTTGTCCACAATTCAGGACGAACACGACAATCGTACAAGCCTTGTAGCATTTCGAGGGTAACCAGGAAGTGTTATGCGGTCAATGTTGAATTAGAGACGAGTATCCGTTTCCACATTCTCCCGAGACGTAGTGAGCTGCTCTGCCCTCTTCTAGATCATTATCAGAAGCGGCTTCGACCACGGCGACGCAACGTGTTTGTCCGTACTGTGCTCCTTCGGCAATAAGTCGAGCCGAGAGATACCCAGGATACCCTCCAGAGACACTGGACACATTGGTATCGTGGACAGTGTCTACCACACCCGTCAAAACTACATCCGACACCTCAAGGAAACTCTCACGTTGCAGAAACGCTTCAACAGTAGCCGAGGGTCGAGACGGAGGACGCGCCACAATCAGCAACCCGCCAGCGTCCGTCGCCTCCTGAAACGGCCTAAAGTCCGCATTATTACTATGTAGTAAAAGCTGCGACGCGTGCGCGATACGTGCCTGGCGCTAGACCATCAATCGATAACGTACGCGAAGCTCGCGTTTGTAAAAACAACATATTTTTAGAAATATATTTTTCGACATCGCGGGGATGGCAGGTCGATAATTGAGCTCAGGATCCGACCGGTAGCTGTAGCAACCGGCTCGTAGGAATGCGCGGCACTCGAAGGATAAGCATAAGTCGATGATACCTCGTGGAGATGGGGATAGGGCCCCGGGAGTTGGCGGCGAGCTTTCGACTTAGCGAAGGCAAAGCCTAAGCGTCTCTGAAGACGAATTTCAATTTCAGAGAAACCTGCTTGAAGAGCACGATAGGAGGGGAGCCGTCGAGCTCTCTCCAGTCAGCTTCGAGATTGTGCTTCGTAAGCACGCTGGTATTCCGCAGGGTTTAGAGCAACCGAATTGATTTGCATGGAGGGAATTTGCTGACAATTAAGCTGCATTTGCAGGCACATCTGATACCCCCTTGGAGTTTTGACTTGTGGAGTCAAGTATCGCTCTCGGAGCTGGTGCCGCCGCGCTTGCTCATCAGCAGTAGGGGCCGCAGGCCCGTACGCATACGTGCTGAGTGGCTGCTGCAGCTGCTTCTGCAGGGTGTCGTGTCTGGAAACCGTAGTCACGGCGTGACGTGAGAACAAGTGGACGGTCCACGGGTCAAAAATACTATAAGCGTTGCTGATCGAACAACGGGTGGGCTTGAGTCTCATCCAGGTCATTCGTAATGAAGTTGTGATCGTATCGATCTTCCTCATCGTATCGCGACGGTAGCGGAGGCGCATCGCGCAGCACGCGAATGATATTCGCGTGTTCAGTGAGCGGTTGCGGTGTCCGCAGATCCTGTATCGATGAAGATTGCCTCGCTGAACGGTTAGACCTCCTCGAGGATGCTGGAGAAGTCATGGCACCGTGTGTACATAGTTCTCATTACTGTCTATGAAGGCTGGGTGCTGTACCGAAACCGGGTCCCAAGACACATGGACAACACAAGCAAATGGATCGGGATGGCGAATGACGAGTTCTTCTTGTCCACGGTGGTTCCCCAGTCCTCCGAGAACGAAAACGACACGTTGCGTAGACTCTGCTCCACTAATTTGCCCTTTTACAACGAGCCAAAGTGATACAGCGGTGAACAGTAGTATGACCGCCAACCAGTGCTAGATGCATCTATTTCACGTCCTCTACGTTCCGCTTGTGGAGCATCTCGTCAAACTTCTGTGGAAAATATCATTCACGCAAAGCCCTGGATAAAGAGCTTCTGGTTCCATCGATTCTGCAAGAAATACAGCGGATTCAGCGTGAGCGACACCCGAGGCTAGGAAACCCTGTACGTACCTTTTATCTTGACGCTGAAGATGCTTGTCCCGCACACGATCTCGCCCAGCGTGTTGATAATGGCCGTGTTAGCTGGTTACGACCCTTCTTCGTATTTATGCTCAATGGCAGACACAGATAAAGTCTCGAATCCGAGCGACGTGTTGTCCACAATTCAGGACGAACACGACAATCGTACAAGCCTTGTAGCAATTCGAGGGTAACCAGGAAGTGTTATGCGGTCAATGTTGAATTAGAGACGAGTATCCGTTTCCACATTCTCCCGAGACGTAGTGAGCTGCTCTGCCCCCTTCTAGATCATTATCAGAAGCGGCTTCGACCACGGCGACGCAACGTGTTTGTCCGTACTGTGCTCCTTCGGCAATAAGTCGAGCCGAGAGATACCCAGGATACCCTCCAGAGACACTGGACACATTGGTATCGTGGACAGTGTCTACCACACCCGTCAAAACTACATCCGACACCTCAAGGAAACTCTCACGTTGCAGAAACGCTTCAACAGTAGCCGAGGGTCGAGACGGAGGACGCGCCACAATCAGCAACCCGTCAGCGTCCGTCGCCTCCTGAAATGGCCTAAAGTCCGCATTATTACTATGTAGTAAAGGCTGCGACGCGTGCGCGATACGTGCCTGGCGCTAGACCGTCAATCGATAACGTACGCGAAGCTCGCGTTTGTAAAAAAAACATATTTTTAGAAATATATTTTTCGACATCGCGGGGATGGCAGGTCGATAATTGAGCTCAGGATCCGACCGGTAGCTGTAGCAACCGGCTCGTAGGAATGCGCGGCACTCGAAGGATAAGCATAAGTCGATGATACCTCGTGGAGATGGGGATAGGGCCCCGGGAGTTGGCGGCGAGCTTTCGACTTAGCGAAGGCAAAGCCTAAGCGTCTCTGAAGACGAATTTCAATTTCAGAGAAACCTGCTTGAAGAGCACGATAGGAGGGGAGCCGTCGAGCTCTCTCCAGTCAGCTTCGAGATTGTGCTTCGTAAGCACGCTGGTATTCCGCAGGGTTTAGAGCAACCGAATTGATTTGCATGGAGGGAATTTGCTGACAATTAAGCTGCATTTGCAGGCACATCTGATACCCCCTTGGAGTTTTGACTTGTGGAGTCAAGTATCGCTCTCGGAGCTGGTGCCGCCGCACTTGCTCATCAGCAGTAGGGGCCGCAGGCCCGTACGCATACGTGCTGAGTGGCTGCTGCAGCTGCTTCTGCAGGGTGTCGTGTCTGGAAACCGTAGTCACGGCGTGACGTGAGAACAAGTGGACGGTCCACGGGTCAAAAATACTATAAGGGT